GAGCAACCCAGGCTGACACGTCCTTTATAACAGAGTGAGAAGCCTTCATCTGAGATCTGCTCTAACATCAGAGCAACCATGATGTTAGTTACCCACAAGCGTAAAACAATCCAGACGGAGGATTATAACCATCAGATGAACAAAACTGCCTTTGGCATTTGCAACAACCTAGGCAGGCTCACAGCAAAGTAGCACACTTCACTGCACCAGTGGGTACCTTTACCCAGCAACTGCTCACTTCCACACACGGATTTTGAGGTCTTTTGAGAGAAAAGTACTTACCTTCTTTTTGGTTTTGGTGTTGAAGAACTGAACAACGATCCAAATGCTGATCCCAAAACCAACAACAGAATAGATGTACAATCTGTGCAGCCATAAGGACACCAGGCAAGTGAAGAAAAAGTTCCACGCATCCATTGAGACATCTAAATCTAGAATAAATCACAGATTTAGCAAAAGCAGATTCCTACAGGGTGAACTTAAAATAAGCACACAAGAAAACAGTCATACAGGACCCGCAGACTCACAACATCCCCAGTCTCCGCAGAAAACAGCTTCTGGCTGAAGACAAGACACTACAATTAAATCAAGGAGCCTTCACCCCCCAAGAGGCATGTAAGCTGAGTTTCATCTGTGTATCCAAGCTAACATTTTAGACTGTCATGTGGAAACCCTGGGTTTTTCTTAAGACGGAGCAGGTTCTGTTATAGGGAGACACAGAAAACACTTGTGCTGTGCAAGTGTCTGCAAGTAAAAAGTCCTTGTGAAACACCCACTGTAGCATACTGGCCTTAGTTTTGCGGACCTAACGCATGCAGATCTCTGGAGCTATAAGGCACCGTTTCAAGGGGGAAATCATCTCCACAGAGCTCAAACAGAACCCTTATATTAAGCACTAGACGCCACACTGATTACAAAAGCTTTGACCCAGAGTGTCAAGGCCAGACTGAAACCTGGATTCAACTGAAAGCACTTTTTTCAGAATTCTATCATGTGGGCGAGGTTTGATTTAGAACAACCGAGACTGTTCTGAACCAACTTGAAAATTCAGGGTACATAATGTTGTAGCCAGGAGCACACTCGCACGGCGTCTGTGAAACATGTAAAACATTCAGGAGCTTAAGTAAGGCTTGTTTGTGACATTTATTGATGGAGAAACACAGATGTCACCCTCCTACTGTTATCCGCAGTCCTCCTGGATCTTGTTTTTGTAGATATCAGACAAGAGCACAGAACCCAAGTACTTCCAAGAGGCTGTAAACTTTGTTATCTTACTTTTCCCCTGGACTGTTACTTACAGTACCAGATCAAAAACTTCAGGGGATCCTCCTCACCCCTCCACCAGCAACACTGAACCCCCAACAAAAAAAGAGCTGAGAGCGTTTGCCATTGCGTCAGCAGCCCCAGCACTGTGGCCCACGCGAGCAGCAAACCCCTCAAGGGGGGGGCTCCAGCAAACCACCACAGCCCAGGTACCCCAACCCCGCTTGCCCCCTGCAATTGCCCCATAGCACCCACCCCCCAGGCCTGACACCCG